CTTCCACATGGATGGCAGGGGACCAAGTACTCATTCCATCTTGTGCTTCTTTCACAGGTGAATTAGGAGAGAGCTGGATCAGAAGTGGAGCAGCCAAGATGAGAACTGGTGCTCATAAGGGATCCTGGCACCACAAGCAGAGGCGTAAGCCACTGAACCACAATGCTGGCTGCTTTCAGACTTTTGAAGCACCTGCATACATATAGCTATGTTTGTCTCTCAGAGTTCATGTGTTGGAAAATTAATCCAAAAATTGTATTTGGAGATAGTGCCTTTCAGAGGGGATTGGATGATGAGGGTTGCTCTCATCAGTGGATGGGTTATCAAGGAAGTGGATTTCTTATAAAAGTGACCTCTCAATGGTATGCTTGTTCTTTCTGTTCATGTGATAGCCTGTGCTGCCTCAGGGTTCTGTGAGTCCCCACCAGCAAGAAAGCCCTCAGCAGATACAGCCCCTCAACTTGGGCTTCTCAGCCTCCAGAACAGCAGTAAATGCATTTCTTTTCTTTATAAATTATCCAGTCTTAGGTATTTTGTTATAGCAACAAAAAATGACACACACACACACACACACACACACAATGCCTCAAGAGCAAAAATCAAAAGACCTTAAAATAAGCTTGACTGACAGGCATTTGGCCTAGTAAGACACCAGTTGAGGTGTTTGCATTCCACATGGAAGTGCCTGGGCTTAATACTCACCTTTAGCTTCTGACTCCAGCTTCCTGCGAATGTAGACTCTGGGAGCCAGAAGTGATGAGTCAAGTAATTGGTTTCCTGTCACACATGGAGGAAACCTGCATGGAGTTCTCCCAGTTGTCCTGAGCATTTCAGGAGTAAAACAGGTGAAGGGAGAGTGCGCTCTCTCTCTCTCTCTCAAATAAATAAACAAACATTTAAAATAACCAGACTTGAGAAAACTTGTCACAAACCAAATTTTATTTTTTCCAAGTTAGAAAAATATGAACATGTCAAAAATACAGTCTAGCCCATAAAGAGTCATTCCAGCCATTTAAAAGTTTATACAGAGTTTCGAAAAAGCAGTTCACGCATAAGTCTTAAAACACTTCATGAATAACACATAACCATCAGTTCAGTTATTGCTAGTTATATGTAGCTTTTACTTGAGACTGTTCTCCATTAGAGATAGGGTAGTATCTGGACATTCTGATTGTTGCTATTAAAGCTGTGGTTTACAAAAACCCCAAAGTAACCATAAGCTCACTTTGAGTAGACTATAATGTACAAGTTTTGATAAGTCCTACACGAAGGTGTGCTCTAAATTTCAGTTCCACTCCCTTATACTTTTAAATTCTATTTTGTGGCTACATTAGAAATATAGCACATATTTTTGGCCAAGAGTAGATGAACTATTGGGTTTAAAATTAAGTGCCTAGAAACATTAACTTTAGTTGCAATGTATAAAACAAAGGGCATCTCTGGCTTTAAAAACATGAAAAATTGGAAAAGATACTTAAATTTTAACCAAAAAGCAAAGTTACAGCTTCTTTACAGGCTGAAAAGTAAATGAATCAACTTGGTCTTTTGAAATTTAGCGTGATGACCTTCTTTTCTCTATTTTCTCTTTAAAAAGATAAGTTAGCCACATAACAAACATGTCTTAAAACAGATCTATTTGCCCACTGCCATGTGGAAAAACAAGTCGTAAAATCAAATACTTAAATTTTAAATAAATTTTAAATAATTACAGAAAAGATAATGTAGTCGGCAGTATAAAACACTGGCATAAAATCAGTCATTTTGGGAGTGGGTAATATATAGGAGACTTGAGGCCAAAGTTCACATGGAAGACTTAGAAGTTAATAATGGCACAGAGAGAGAGCAATGGCTTTGTTTCCAAATTTCCTGCTACCAGGTTAGATTTATTGCTGGTATTTTACTCCTCAGAATTTTTAAAAATAAACTGACACATATATATGCACACACAACACATGAGGCGGAGTGGGAAGACGGTAAAAAACCATTCTTAGACTAAAAGTGATACGATCATTTGGCAAAAATACTTATTAACTCAGGGATTTAAATCCTAAAAACAGGGTACATTTTTAGGAGGTAGAAAACAAGTACCCAAAATTTTATCACTTTGCTACTCCCACCTACTTTTGGCTTCAAACATGGTTTTCCGCATTTCTCATTCCTCATTCTCCCAGTAATGCTATTAGTTCTACTACCATTCATTACCTACATTTATAGACCTACAGCTGCCAAGAAAAATATTTTCAAGAAGTTTTACTGTTAAGCCACCAAATGTACCTGATACTCAGGTGTCAACTGAGAACATTTTGTGCCTATTTGGTTAATTTACTTCATAACAAAATATGCCAATGTAAACAAATTATCAGATAAAAGACTAGCAAACAACTTTACATGCAATTCTAATAGAACAGAGTAGCTGTGCAAACCGAAACTTGTGTTATTTTCACTGAACTGATTTGGAAAGTTACATATTAAAACCGCATCACTAGTGTTAACTGAAAACAGCCATGTGTTTTACTACAAAATGTACCTAGTAACCAAAACAAGCCGCATTTCTTCCCTAAGAGTTACATTGTGCTGATATTCCATAGATGATATTATAAAAGAATTCCATTTTTGCGATAGGCTGGGTTCACAGTGACTATGTTAGTACCAAGATCATGTGTTTAATATTACTTTAAGAATGTCATCACTGGAATGTATATAAGGCATGTAAAAATAGCATTAAAGCTCTTAAGGGCAATAATTCAAACTTGCACCAGATAGAAAAGGTGCTGCTAAGAATAATAAAAACAAAACTAAAACACATACTAGTATGTAGTGCTTTTACAAAAAAATGAGTTAACTCACACAAATTCCTGCTGCTGGAACTAATGGGACAAAGATGAATGGACTCTGGCCCCCTTTAACAACTAGCCCAGTCTTGAAAACGGAAGCAATCACTGGCAATTTTCCACACTGTACTGGTGGGAGTGGAATGAGCGGTCAGCAGGAAGTTTTGGTTGAAGAAGTGTTGCTTGTTTCCATCGAACTTCACAGTTCCACTGGTCACAACAAGAACTGTTGTCTGGGACTGGGTAGCTTGCTCTTCATTCACAAACGAAAAAAGAGAAGAGGTCAGTTTTATTTCTAGAAAAGCAAATTTCAAAGCTGTGTGGTTTATGATGTAATGATTAAAAATTTCACAGATTTTCTTTACATTGAGCCTAACTGTAAATCTGCATACTCAAAACCAAAAATTAAATACAAATTTCAAAGACACTGAAATTATTTTCGGGCCAGAATGATCTGAGGTACTCTAAAGTTTCAAAATAAAGAGCTTGTATTCAGCACAGGACCACTTGCTTCCTGTATATATTAATATTTCATTAGGTTTCTAACATGGCTAATATTTTGTTTCTTCAGCTATTGCTATTTTATAGAACTTTATAGGAAAAAAAACACATTACCCTAAACCACTAGAAGGGGCCTTTAAAAGCATTTATGGTAATTTTGCATTATGAAAAAACTACAGATGATTATAAAATTTTTTGCACTGAGATAAAATTATCTTTTAATTTCATTTTTCAATGAGGTAGTTGAAGTCCCTCATACTTAAGACACTTAGGACTCCACCTAGAGGTTAATATTATAAACTGCATCAGTCTATGTTGAATCAAATTCGATCCTGCCAAAACTTTCATATAATAGTAAATTTCTGTAAAACTTAAATAAGTTGTAAGATACTGAAAGACATTAATCACATATGTAATAAGTCTTCTCTGGAGACATGTTAAGGCTCAGTAGGCAGATATCTTGAGGGAAAATAGATAATCTCTCTTCTTCATGAACAAAAATCACATTTACCTTCAACTTCTCATATGACTTTTTAAAGCCATAATCACATAATCCACGAAAACCTATTAGTAGGTTTCTAAAGTAAGAAGCTTTTAAGGGGCCGGTGCTTTGGCGTAGCAGGTAAAGCCGCTGCCTGGAGTGCTGGCATCCCATGTGGGCGCTGGTTCAAGACCCGGCTGCTCCACTTCTGATCCAGCTCTCTGCTATGGCCTGGGAAAGCAGTAGAAGATGGCCCAAGTCCTTGGGTCCCTGCACCTGCATGGGAGACCCAGAAGAAGCTCCTGGCTCCAAATTGGTCCAAACCCAGCTGTTGCAGCCATCTGGGGAGTGAACCAGCAGATGGAAGACCTCTCTCTCTGTCTCTGCCTCTCGGTAACTCTGTCTTTCAAATAAATACATTTTTTTAAAAAAATTAAGAAGCTTTTAAAAGAAAATCAAAAGTCTGGACAGCCAAATCTTTTCTAATATTTAAGTTGCCCAAAAAGGTAAATACTTCTACCACTCCAGTTGTTTGCTGCTTCTGATGTAAAAGCTCAGTGGTCATCAAAGGCAAACAAAGGAAATACCTTAAAAGATCTTGATCTTACCATGAACTGGCTGGCAATCCAACATGTTGACTTGAAACTCACTGGATGGCAACATCTCAAAAAAATTACTCAGAGAATCCAGCCCGGTCACAACATTTCCATTCCAAATTAAAGTGGCCTTGTCTAGGTACAGCCTGGTAAGTGCCTAAAAAGAAAGAAAAGTCTAAAAATATGCAGAGTTTTGTTTCCAGGTAAAGTATAGTATATAAATGGATTAAAAATTACATGAACGTTAAATTTCTAAAAGCTTTAGGTGAGTGGGGGAGAGGCAGGAAGAAAGGGAGAGAAACTGGCAAGGAGAGAAGAGGGAGGGTGTGAGAGACATGCAATTCCCTGGCTCACTTCCCAAATGCCTTGAAGGTAGTGCGTGTGTATGGCAGGATGAGGGGGTGTGGAGAATCTCACAGAAAGTCCCCAAAATAGAATCACAGATCACTGCTTACCTGATTAGCAAAAGGAGGTGAACTGTGGAAACTCCACAGTAAAATATTGAGTCAAAAATTACTCCAACCACAAAATGAAAGTAGAGTGGAGTCACTCATGATAAGCCAGGAGCTGATGTTAGGCCTAACGCCTGCTACGGAGAGGCTCCTAATCATACCAAACAGACACCTCTGGGCAGTCAGGTGACAGTGCGCTGTGGACGATACCCTTCTACCCACACTGACTGGGCTGTTCAAACATAAGCAAGGCGGGAACAGTATTGACTGGGTTATTCAACCACACAACAAGATGGAGGACTGCCAGAAAATGAGGATTAAAAAGGGGAGCCCTTGCACCGCTCTCCACCCTTTTGAGGATCATGGCCTGGTGCGTGTCAACCACTGGGAACGGGAGAAAGAAGAGCGGAGCTGAGACGAGCTGTCACTGAGCTGTCACTGAGGGGAGCTGACCCGAGCAGAAAGAGCTGACCTCCCGAGCCGCAGCTTCCTGAGCTGCACCCGTTCCTGAGCCATTCCAGCCACAGCTTCCTGAGTGGCCTTAGCTGCTGTCCTGTTCCTGAGCTGTAACACTGCTGTAACACTTCGGCTTTGCCTCTGAACCAAGGGCCCGGTGTGTGTGAACCTCTGGATCTCCACACATCTGGAGCTGAAGAGACAGCCTGCTACTCTGCATGGAGCAGGTAATGGCACAAGATGACCCGCAGAGCTGTCCCTGAGCTGTAGCCCTGCCGTGTGTGTGTGTGTGGGGGGGGGCCCAGGGCGTGTGAACCTCTGGATCTCCTCGCACTTGGGGCCAAAGAGCCAGCCCGCTAGCTCTCTTGCTACGTGGCACAAGGGGACAACGGGATCAAGGGGCCGGCAGAGCCGCCACCTTGCTGCCTCACCGTTTCACAACCTCACTGTTGTGCCTGAGTGCAGAGCTGTCACCTCACCACCTCATTGCCTTCCCATCGCCTAGCACTTCACCATTCGCCCAAGAACTCCAAGCCTGTAAGTGACTGATCTGAGATCCGTCCCTGCTGGGATGTTGAACTCTGGACATTGTACACTCCCCACAGGAGAAACACATTCGTGATAGTGATATGATCCTAGACACGCAGCAAGCATATGTTGTAATGTCATGATGTCAATGATGTGCTAACTCATGATCAAGGTGGAAACATTAAGTGTGATATTGCTGTTTGATTATTGATTGTTGTTTACTGATTATAGATTGCTAGTTATTGCTATTAGTATGATTAAGATTTTGTTGTTATAGTAGGTATCGTGGTTAAGTCAGGACATAGATCATCAAGCTATAGACTGTGAAGTACAGAGTTATAGACTGTCAGATATAGGTTGTTAAGCACTTAGGTATAGAGTAAGCATAATATATTGCTATGAATAGAGTTGAGCATATTAGGTACATTAGCACTATCAGGCATATAGATTGATATTGATAGTGTTTTAACCTTGATAAATGAGCAAATGAGTAGTGTGATACATCCCTGGTGTGTCCCCGGTGTGTGAGCAATAAAAATCTTTCACTGGAAAGGCAGTCTTGTGTCCGAGTGTTCCTTTCTGCCCCGTGACTGACAAGTCGTACGTCGCACTTACTGCTGTCGAGCTGCGTGACAGTAGGGCTCGCGACGGGGGGGGGGAGGTAGGCAGCCAGAAATCAGTAACAGGGAACTCAATCCAGGTCTTTCACATAGGTGTAAGGGACCCAACCACTTGAGCTATCATCATTGTCTCCCTGGGTGCAGCAGGAAGCTAGAATCAGCATTAAGTGCCAAGATCAAACACAGGCACTCTGATGTGGAATATTTATGTTCCAACCAATAACTTAACTACTTAGCCTAATGCTTGTTCTGGTATATAAACATTTTTAAAGTTCGACCTCCCTGTCCATTTCCCTTGATCCCTCTCCAATGCAAACCAGTGTAAACAAGATGTCTGTCCAGAATCCTAGCCTGAAATAGATGCTATCCTACTCCTCATAAATTAAAGAGTTAAATATATTTTTTCATATTATACATTAGCCACAATAAGAAATCCTTGCAGCCAAAAGCTAGAAGATAGTTTTCAAGTTTTGCTTTATGTATTAAAATGAATAAATGATCACAAATTGTTTTTTTTTATTTGACAGGTAGAGTTAGTGAGAGAGAGAAAGAGAAAGGTCTTCCTTCCGTTGGTTCACTCCCCAAATGGCTGCTATGGCTGGTGCTGCGCAGATCCGAAGCCAGGAGCCAGGTGCTTCTTCTTGGTCTCCCATGTGGGTGCAGGGCCCAAGCACCTGGGCCATCCTCCACTGCCTTCCCGGGCCACAGCAGAGAGCTGGACTGGAAGAGTAGCAGCTGGGACTAGAACCAGCACCCATATCGGATGCCAGCGCCACAGGTGGAAGATTAACCAAGTGAGCCAGTGCCGGCCCCAATGATCACAAATTGTAAGCACATGTAGCCCAGACAAGCTTTTCTTCCTTTTCTAACTCTGATAATTAATAAATTTGTTAATCAAGTCATACTATAATTTAATCCCAGAGGTTATACAGATGTGAATCATTTAATCTTTGCATGTGTTAGGAAGAATTATTCCTTATTGCTATTATTCTGTTAGTCTACTTAGTTCAAAAGAATTGTGAGTATTTGCTAAAGCAGAGTCTCTGATGAACCAAATAAATTAAAGTCAAAATGAGACAAAATTCAACAGTTAACTATTTGGAGTCACAGGGAATATTATTTCTTAATATTCTATAATTTAACTTGGGTTCCAATGCCAACATCTATCTTCACACTGATAATGAACTATATCCCACTTTTTTGCTACTTTATTTTTGAAAACAGTAGGCACAATTATAGACAAGGAACAATAAGCATCCACTGCCTCTTCCCATTTCCCATCTTATATCAACAAACAGAAGTACCAGGGACTTCTTTGATCTTCTGCCTTTAGAAGGTGGGCTTTTATCGATAAAGTACCAACTTTTGCATCTGCAGAAGAGAAGTTCACTAAAACACAGTCCTATGCTGCTAAGAGATTTAGATCCATTTGACCACCCAGGTACCTAAATAATTACTTAGAAGATTTGGCACAGGGATAAATTACAATGAAAATGCTGGTGATGTGAAAACTTCGTCTGTTGAATACTAAAGTATCCTAGCTATGTGTATGCTCTTTGTGCCAGCAATAGTTATGAGGCTTAATCAGAAATTACCTATTAATACATGAAATAAAGGGGGCAAATCAGGAAGCATTCCCTGTAATGACAGATCCTTTCACTGGTGCTAATCCTTCCTTAACCATATTGGATAAATGGTGGTATTAAGACAAGGTAACATATTTAAGTAAATATATGATAAACCCAATGATAAATGCGGTTTTCAAATTAATTCCTACTTACAAACCTAATCATAAAATGACATTAAGAAAAATAGCAACTTGCCCATGATCGGGAGAACTAGGTAAAAGCAAACTTATACTTCCACAAACACTATACCAATCGTTCCCTAAGCAATCTGTTTTTAAAGAACAAGTCCAGTTATCATTTACTGAAGTCACACTAATAGCTGGCTCAACAACAAAAGAGAACTGGTATTTAATAAACAGCTGTAGAGTCCATAACACTCACCCGTCTTCTTTTGTCCATTGTCTCGTAGTAAATGTTCACAAACTCCTCAGCAGCTCTGCAGGCTTGATCCACATAAGTTTTGAAATCCTAGGAGAAAAACTTGGAGGTATAGATTACCACCTTTCCAACCCCTCATTAACACAAAACCACCAACCGAAGTTAATGATTTATTTCAATCACCATACTGCTCTATACCCAGTCCTCATTTGTCAATATAAATTTAAGCTTAATAATGGTAAGAACTCAAAAGTCAACAATTTTTTTTACTATTTGTAGGTGCATGTCAATATATAATCATCTCTGATTTGTGAATTAGATTATTTTCATTTGTCACGTATAAACTTCTACTGTTGCCTGGCAACTAACTACTTTGAACTTTCAGTATTTCCAATAAAACATCCACCCTAATAAACACGACGCTGTATGAACCTTAAAAGGAGGGGGAAGGGAAGCTAGTGAGTAAACTAAGAACGTGTTCAGTTCTCCTTTCAAGGGAGAAGTGAGGACAAAACTCAAAACTGCTCAAAGGGAAAAAATAAAAATTAGAAAAAGAATGAAGTTCAAGGAACTACCTGAAAAACTACGTAGCTCCACTTGAACAACTGTTCTACTATGTAAACATTTACCGGTGTTTGTCAAAGAATTGCAGAATATTAGAAGAAAAATATTATTGGGGGCTGCGCAGGACTCAGGATCAAATAGCTTCTTGCCTAGAAATTCGCTGGTCCTGGCGTATTACTTGAATTAATAACAGTGAATCGCCAGTTTCTCAGGCGATCGAAAGAGATTTTTAGGGAATCAGATCGGGAAGAGTGTTTCAGTCGTAAACAAACACTAAGACCCTGCCTCTCCACTCTCCGGATTTAACTATCCTTTCCGGGACCAAAATACTACGGCACAACTTTCGGAGGGCGGGCAGTAGAGTGGACCCCGCCCCGGAGCCAGGCTGGTCAGACCCTGATTCGCTACCTGTTCATGTGACCAGGAGCCAGTCCAACCCTGAGCCCCTCCCCTCTACCGCCCATGCTTGGGCGCCGAGACTCCCCATCGCGACCCGGACACTCACCACGGACGTGGCCATCGAGGAGCCCGAAGCACTTTGGTCCAGTGGCGGCGTTACTACCTCCTCGCGTCTGTGGCCTCCTCGGCTGCGAAACGATCAAACGTTTGGGAAGAGACCGAAATCCGCCAAACGCGCACAATTTTCTAATAGCCAATTCGGTTCCGGAAGTAGATCGGTCCGTCGCTAAAAGCAACCCGACGTTCCAACCGTAGGTCTACCTCCCTTCAGTTCCGATTGATTCCTCCCACCTGGCTTATTTATTTACTAGATGTTTATTTATGTAGTTTAACAGAAAAAAAGAACACTTTACTTTTGCTAACTGCATACTCTGAAGAAAAGTATACCAATTTTTAAACGGTACACCTTGGGTCGAATCAAAAGGGGCCACTTAAGGGGGGGTTTCTTTGCTACAGGAAGTGGGGGGGGGGTCAAAGCCCACTGACGACCAATGAGAAACCGGAGACCTACAAGATCCATGGTCTATAGGAAAAAGGGGGCGGACCTTGGGGAAAGGCATACTGCGCATGACTGCTGGAGAACCGTTTGCCGCTTAGTTCTGGAACATTCTCAAAGAACCTAGGCTATTGAAGCAAAAAAGTTTGGTGGTATTCTGGAGATTATTCACTATTAGATTTTACTTTGGGCATATTTAAGGGTAAAGACTCGAGTCTCTCTTCAACGATACATTTTAAAATATATTGCCGATCTCAGACAAGAATTAATTCACGATGCCATTCACTACCTTTTCCCGGTTACTTACCACACAAAGCAAACAACAGATAAAATGCCAAGTACAAAGTACTTTTCCACACATTTTTACTCATTCTCTTATTTCCAGTAGTGTCGAGGTAACTGCTGTTTTTATCAAATCCATTTTTAGCTAAGATACAAAGTATTTAACCCGCTCAGGGACACAGGAAGAGATTCAAGCCCAAATGATAAAACTACGGCAGCAATCTGGCTCTTCGCCCCACCATCCCTTAAGAATGTCCACCTTCAAGTCATCCACGACTTAACGGCTGTCTAATCGGATCTTACTATGAGTAGCTGGTTTGTGGCTCCTCATGACGATAGTCGCTCCTTCCTTGACGCCTTTCATAGTCTTCCTGAGACCAGTCTCTTCTGAATTTTCTCATCTTTTCAATTTAATTTGTTTTTCCCGTCACTCTCTTTTTAAGTCTAGCTCCAACGGCCACCATACAGGACTTCTCTGTCCTCCTCAGCGTGCCACTAGCTGACGTCACGTCCGGATGTCTCACACTTTAAGCTCTCCCTCCTGCCACCTCATAATGTCCGGGTGTCTCACACTTTAAGCTCTCCCTCCTGCCACCTCATAATGTCCGGATGTCTCACACTTTAAGCTCTCCCTCCTGCCACCTCATCACAGCCGTTACATATATGCTAATAAACCTCAACAGGCACCACCTCCTTGCTGAGTTCCAATTACAAATAAGGAATTTTATTAAACATGAATATCACGACACACTATAGGCTTTCAACACTTGGAAGCCCAGATTTTAGTCTTTTTTTTTTTTTTCTGCACTTCCAGTCTGTCCTCCTTATTCTTTCCGTCATCTCTACTGGAGTCCTTGGAATGTTCGTTCCCCTATCCCGAGCATCATCATTCATTCAACAAATATTTATTAAACATTTACTATGATGCCAGACGTTGTGCAAGGTTCTGCATATAGAGTGGTGAATAAAGCAGACATAACGCATATATTCATGAAGCATAAAGTGTAATGGGGGTGCTGGACAGTAAATAAAGCTTTCATGAGTTGCAAAATAATTCCACATAACTTTCCTAGTTCTGCCTGTTCTCTAAAGCGGCTTATTCTGTTTTTATCTTTTCGCCTCTCTTTCCGCCATGCACCAACTGTGATCACTCTAATCTCTTTTGTCCCCCGGAAAGTTCTCCTAATCTTCGAAGACCTACCTTAGTCTGTTCTCAATTTGTCTTTTTCAGATTTCTCCCAAATTCACAAACACTGGCAAAATTAACTACTATTATTTGCCAAAAGGGACTCTTTACTGCTTTACTGGTTATTGTCTTTATTGTGGGCTGCTGTTTCATGTTTCATTCAATCCTTACAAGCCGAGAGAGGTAGATATTATTATCCAGATTTTAAAGAATTGAAACTGAAGTTCAAAGAAGTTAATTGGCTAGAATGATACACCGAGTGGACATAGGATTTTAACCCCATACTGTCTGACCCCAAAGTTTTTGCTCTTAGAAACTCTGCTATTCATGAATTTTCTTATACTCTTCTTATTTTAGAATGTTCACTACCTATGTGTAGCTCCCCTTCAGGGACCGGGGCAGGTTCACTCTCCTCTATAAGTCTTCCTTTATTTCTTTTTCCCTGAACCTAAATGCATATCGTTTGGGTTACTTCTTTTATGACTATAAGGGCAGCTATTGGTGTTGTCAGTAATGCTGGGAACTAGGGGGTTACTGGGAATACTGGAAAGGGAGATTTGAATGAGAAGTGGGGGCAGGACCTCAAAGTTTTTTGTACTGACTTTTTGCAAAGAATGTTGTGCTACACTGCAAGAATTGCTACATTAGTGTGCTACAGACGTGGGAGGCTTGGTAAACTGATAATGGAGAAACCAATGCTGGGCTTTGTTAGGATAGAGCAGTGAATTTAAACCATAAGAAAACTTGTTGACTAGGGAGTCGGGTGGGAACCAGGTGAATAAGAAACAGAATTGCTTTTTCCTAGATAACTACATTTGTGCAAAATGTTGGGAGAATGACTCAGAAGGGAGTAAAAGGGCTTTTCTTGGAACATGGAGTGGAATTTTGGTCAAACACATTGTTAGCATCAGTCTGGGTTAAA